AGAAAACAATTGTACAATCGGCATTGCAAATATAGCATACAAAATCTTCAATTCCACCATTACAGTATGTTCTTAATTTTATAATTTTTAAAAACTTAATTAAATACCAAGGCCAATCACCTACGCCAAAATCCAAAATGGGTTCTTAACATAGTAGAAATCCGAAAGCAATCATCTCCAATCTTCCAACGTTCAATCTTCCACGCCAAAAGCAACCACAAGGGAACACGAGTCCAACTCTGAAATTTAACAAACAATTAAGAAATATCACTTCATTTGGAACACATTTTAGAAGCTATTGGAATCAGATGAGCAGATTTGAGAGATATTGGTAAACTTTTGCGGAGATGATAGTGTCTGTTAAATGTATTATAGACATTACGTGTCTGTAAGATTTTCTTCACAAACATAAAATGTCTGTGAGAGTGTAGATAAACTATCTAAACCTCTTGTCACAAAACATTCCAACCAATTGGAAAACAGGCATTTTACGCCAGTAATAAGCACATCAAAAACATTTTAGAGTAATCTATGAATCAGAGCAAGCTCTTTCTCAGAATACAGACATTTTGTGCCAACAAGAAGCACATCATAGACATTTCAAAGCAAGTTATGAAATTGAGCAAACTCTTTAATACTTCCTCCGTCCCTAAATATTTACAACATTTGCTTTTTCACCAGTGTCGGGAACTTTTGTTTATTTCGACATTTTCATTGATTATTTGATAAAATAAAATATTCTTGACACCTCTTATTTCGAAGAACTTTTCATGTAGTTTTTTTATATGTAAATTTTATTTTTTATTTCTTTACCAATATGTAGATAAAATGAATTGAAAAAACTTGATATTTTGCCTCGGGAATACAAATGTGGCAAATAATTTGGGACGGAGGGAGTAAAATACAAACATTTTGCACCAATAACAAGCACTACACAGACATTTCGTAATAAGCATTTAAATTCCTAATTACCACAAGTTTTTAACAAAAAATCAGCCATTGAAAAGATTAAAAAAAGAATTAAATGATTGAATAAGTTTGAGAAAGAACGATTCACAAAAAAAACATTTAAAAAAGACTAATTTTCACAAGATGGAAGGATTGATTTGTGGTTAGAATTGAATGATTGAATCAAGATTTACAAATAAAAACCCTAAAATTGAAATAAAAAGTGTTTATTATAACCTTTAATTTGATGTTGTACGGTGGTCAAGGCGAAGAAGATCGAAGAAGACGAAGGATGAAGTCTCCACCAAGTTGGATCTTCCACCGATGCACTACACGAGGAAGGGGAAGTAGGTGATGTCACTGCAGAAGAACGAGGAAGACGAAGGAGGAACTCTGGGAGAAGGGCTGGTTGGGTTTGTCTTCCGGTAGTTGCCCGCTCCTTGCTTCCCTGGAGAGATCTGCGAAAGAGAGAGGGAGAGAGAAAGAAAGCAGGGGAGGGGTATAGAGAAAAAAGAAAGAGGGGGGGTATATGGTGTATGAATTGGGGTACACCACTGGTGTACCCCTAGCACGACCAAAGATAGATAATGCTTCTATTGGTATCGTAGAAGGAAAAGGATTGTTACAGGCGTAGAAGAATGCAATTCGCCGGCATCGAAGAAGGAAGGATCAAACCTTAACGAAGAAGGTGATATACACCCTCATAATTAGCGTTAAGAATGCCAATACTTTGTAAAAAGCCCGTAAAAGTTAACCCTTCTTACAAATGAACAAAAATCAAAGAAAATATCGAAGAAAAGAGAGCTGCCAACCGATTTCAATTTTCGGATCAATCTTCGAATCTTTGCTGATATCTTGTAGATGAGAGTCATGAATGAATTTCACAGATCCAATGTATGAGAGTCGCCCAAATCTTTGATAATATCCAACCGCTTTCAATAATCAGAAAGTCCATTTTGATGACATTGTTCATGAGGTGACAACATGCCAAATATCATAATTATGAGAGTTTAATTCTCAAATTTTATATATAAAGGTTAATCTTATCCCTACATGAAAGAAAATTTGTAAAATTGGAAAAGTATTTAGGGGGCGTTTGGTTAGGAGGTAAGGGAATCAGGAAACGGAATGAGATTCCCTGGTTCCTTTTGTTGTTGTTTGTTTAAAAAAAAGCATTCCCTTTCCCCACTTTTAGGTTTTCTATTACCCAATTTAGGCTTTTCCCATTCCCACTACATACCCCGGTTTCTGATTCCCATTCCCCTTCCCCAACCCTTCCGACATTCCTCTGCGACTCACCCCTTTGGCCCTTCCGTTTCTTC